CCTTCCAAGCCATGTCGCAATGGTCAGTCCCCTCCTCCGGTGCGGTGATCTAAAGTAGGATAGGGAGGGGACGCTGAGGCAGCTCGGGGGGAGCTGGGGAGGCGAAAAAGATCTGTTGGCCGCTATGCAGGTCTTCCTTGCCCTGCTCCTTCCTCTGGCCCCTCGTGCATTCATGTGTATTCCCTGAATTCCCTTTTCTTCCTCCTCTTCCCTTCCCTTTTCCCTCCCCCTCCCCCCCTTCCCGTCTAAATTCTCTCATCATCTTCATCTTCCTCCTCCTATTCTTCTCCACTTCCCTTCCTCCTCGCTATCTCCGCCTATCTGCTATGACGCCTCCTCTAGATTGCAGGCAATCCCAACTCGGACATGGCTGGATGGCCCATCCTGTGCAAGACGCTGCTCGACTTGGAGCTCGGGTTGGGGCATTGGGGAGGGAGCAAGGCAGTGGACAAGAGCACAGAAGCTGCAGCTCTCGTGATCCTGACCTGCGTGACTGATCCCTCCTCTTCCTCTCTCCTCCTCTCTCCTCCTCCGAATGGTTTGACTCGTCCAAACCCCATCGCTCTTGTCAAGGTCTGTCAAAAGTACTCGTCCTCTGCTCCTGCTACAAGTTTTGCTGCTGCTGTTCCCTCTTTCTTTCTTCTTCCCTTTCTTCTCTCCTCTTGCTCCTCGCTCAATCGCTCACTCGCGCAGACGAGAAAGGCCTTCGACGCTCTGTTCGAGGAAGTTAAAGCGAAGGCAGAGCAAGCGCCCCAGGTTTATACTGCAGGACATGACGATGCCGATGAAGATGAAGATACCCATGACGATGGGGATGATGATGATGACATTGATGATGACGACGATGCTGATGTTATTGTCGTGGCGATGATGTTGATTGTCAAATTACTGTTATAAGATCAATCTGTGAAAGGATACATACGATGTTCTGTTTTCGTAAGGTACTTTTCGTCCTGATGTGAGATTTGCTCCAGGAAGGGCACGGCCCCGTGGTCGATGTGATTGGCCTTGCAATCTTACAATCGGCCGTCTGGTTCGAATATTTTGCATCAGGTATGCTTGTGAATTAATCTTGTTAATCAGCATTATCACTACCACCACGACTAACAATACCACAATCAATTTTATCATCATCATGACCATTATCATCATTACGATAACCAACACCAACATCGCTGTTGCTCTCTTCTCACTCACTTCTCATTCTCGTCTCATTCTCATTGGCACACCTTGACGCATGTCTTGCAGGCGTTCAATCTGCCATGGCAACATTTGAGAAACAAGTCTCAATCATCTTCACAGTTGTCAATGTCTCATCGGTACAGCATGGTACATCTCTTGTCCTTGTTGAATCTTCTTCACTTCCCTTCCATTTACAGGCTTCAGTAAGATCGCCGACACAAGAGCAAAAGAAGGAGCGTCATGGGCTGAGGAAGAATGGTACTGCCTGCCTCGCTCTGTGGTCCCCCTCTCCCTTCGCGCTGTCCTCCTCCTCGTCCTCCTCGTCCTCCTCGTCCTCCTCGTCCTCCTCTTCCATCCCCATCCTCGTCATCCCCTCTCAACTTCTTGTGTCCATCTCTGTGCTATTTCCCTTCCTCCTCCTTCCTCCCCTTCCTCACCTCACCTATGATGCAGCTACATGGGAATGTTTTCTCTCCTCATGTTCCATTCCAAACATTTCGCGCTTCCTCCGGGCGACATGAGGTGCTGGTCTTGCCCGTTGAGTTGCGAATTCACTTCCTTGCAGACGCTTTTTGCAACGAGCGCTCGCGAAGTATCCTTGCAACGGGATCTTCTTTCGGGTTAGGGTTGGGGAGGAGGAGAGGAGAGGAGAGGAAGGAGGAGGAGGAGCGGAGAGGGAGGAGGGGGAGGAGGGGGAGAGGCAGAAGGCAGGAGAGGAGGGGGAAGGGGAGGGGGAGAGGGAGGAGGAGGAGGCTCACGATGGATCATCGCAGGCGTTTGTGATGCTTGAAGAACGCTTCGGTCTCTCGCACACAGTTCGAGCTCATTGGGAGAAAACTTGGGACACCTCGGCTGAAAAAGATCCTTCCATACCCGGTCCTCCATCCCCTCCTCCTCTCTTTCCTCCTGTTCTTCCACTCCTTCACCTCCCCTTGCTCACTGTTGCCCTCCTGCCTTCCTTGCGTCTTGCGCGCTGTCTGCTCTTCATCCAGGCACCCCCTCCCCTGATCCTCTCCTCTCCTCCCTCTTCTCTCCTCCTCCTTCTTCCCTCCTCCCGTCTCGTCACCTCACAGGCCGCAGGCCCCCCACCCTCCATCGTCCTTGAGATGATCAGCTTTGAGATCCGACGAGGATGCGCTCAGAGGGCTCGTGGGGTGCTGGAGAGGGCTCTGCAACGAGCAGAGACGAAGCACATCCCCCTCCTCTGGCGTGCCTACATGGACCTCGAGGTGTGGAGAGAGAGAAGGTTTTAAGAGGAACGAAGAAGAGTACGGCAGGGGCAGGGGCACGAGGAAGAGACGGGGCAGGGGGAGGGGCAGGGAGAGGAGGAAAAGCAGGGGTAGGGGGAGGGGGAGGGGGAAGAGCAGGGGGAGGGGGAGGGGGAGGGGGAGGGGGAGGGGAGGAAGTGAATTAGGTGGCAGGTTGACAACGGCCGACCGGATGCAGCAAAGAGAGTCTTCTACCGTGCGATTAATGGCTGCCCTGGCTCCAAGGTCAGTGTTTCCTTCATCCACTGCCCCGCCCTGCACATCCCGCCTCTCTGCTCCTCCTCCTGCTCCTCCTCCTGCTCCTCCTCCTCCTCCTGCACTTCCTGGTCCTGGTCCTGGTCCTCCTGGTCCTGGTCCTGGTCCTGGTCCTGGTCCTGGTCCTGGTCCTGCTCCAGCTGCTCCAGCTCCAGCTCCTCCTCCTGCTCCTTCTCGTTCTACTCTAATTCCATCGTGCTATTCCTTCAGGCCGTGTGGCTCTATGCCTTCAGAAATGAGCAGATCCGCAAGCAGTTCAACAAGACGGTCCTGCCTCCCCTCTTTGCCCCCTCATCGAGTCCCCCCCTTGATTCTCACCTCTTCTCTTGCTCCCCTCCCTCTCTTCCCCTCCTCCTCCCTCCTCCCTCTTCCCTCCAATTCCCCTTCATCCCCTTCCATCCTCTCTTCCTCCCCTCAGCTCGCACTTGTTGCTAAGGCTCCTTCCTGCAGGAGCTCGGAGAGATCAACCAGATGCTCACGTCCAAGGGGCTTCGCATCCGCACGCTGCTGGAGGAGGTAGGAGGGCGAAGGGGCTGCTCCTCTCCTCACGTTCTTGCAGGTCTTCCCCGATGATGTTCTTGACAGCCTCAAGCTCAAGAAGTAGTAAAAGCCATGATGATCCTGCCATCAGTATCAGCCTAGTATGCTCCCCCCGTCCTCGCAACTTGACCGTGTCCGTCCAACGGTTCAACGGTTCGATCTGATCGGATCAGCACTGATCCCCCCCCTCAGATTTCTAAAAGACTTGAAGGCCTCCCAGGCTGCTTTGACTTAAGTCAAGGTCACTAGCTGCTTTGACTAAGTCAAGGTCACAAGCTGCTAGTCCTCGTCAATTGCCGCCATTGCGCGCACTGAACTTTGAGTAAACGGGTTCTGGAACTCTTACGTTCTCAGTGCCTCGAGTGCTTCCTAGTTCGGATTCCCCGACTCCCGGCCCGGCCCGGTGTTCATGTTTCAGGCTCGCCTCAAATCCTCCCCGATGGCAGGTTGCATTGTGGGTGGACGGAGGCGAGGGAGGGGAAGGGAGGAGGCATGGCGATTGAGATGGAAGGCGAACTGATACGGGGCTGCTCGATGAGACAGCCTGAAGAGAATACAGGAAGTGGGGGCACATGATGGTGCTGTTGTCGAGGAGGAGCAGACAATTGCGCTGATCGTCGCTCGTTAGAACATCTGGATGGTGGATAGAGGTCCTCCCACTTGCGTTCGATCTTGTCGAATCCTTGGATGCTTCTCCTATCACCGCGCTAGGCTCCTCGCAAAGCACTGAATTTGATGGGAGATGTGCTATGCTCGCTTTCTTATGGCGTTGATGTTGGTTTGCTGGATTCAACAGGATTACTCCTGCTCTGCTGACGAGCAGCAGTATCCATCCTTGTGCAAGACACATCACGCTTCAGACTGTAGCCTTGGTTGCAGCGACCACGCTTCTTTGTATTCGAGTTGCTGGCATGCCTCGTTCATCCTGGCAAGTGTTCCAAGAGGAGGGGGTGGCGATCATGGCGAAGATGGGAAGCTGACGGTAGGAGATGCAGGCAATTCAGAGATGTTTCTGATCGCTCTGAAACAGAACATGCAAGGCAACAAATCTTCATGTGATTCTCAGGATACTCAGAATGGAAAATTGAAGGATGGTGAGGATCTCGCCACCCCGTTCCTCCAGCGAAGGTGATCGAACGCTATGAGGTGGAAAATCTTTATATTAAACGAGATCTCATTTACCAGGGCATCCAATATTCGGTTGTCAAGGTGCCAGGTTGAAGACTGTGGTGAGGACATCTCAAGCTGCCTGATTGTTCTCAATATTTCCGCCAACAACCCCTTGTTGCAGAGAAAGCCGCAAGCTATGCCGACGAGAACGAGTCACGGCCAAGATATTGCGCACAGCACAAGGTTGTCTGGTGCTAGGATGTTCTTGCAGCTGAGTCTGCTGATCGGTTCGATCTTCAAGGAGCCTCACCATGTCGACGTTCGCCACCGACATGTCCGATGTCAGTCATTGACCGGCTGTACCCGACAGGTATGGCCAGGTCAATGTTGTTGCGACTCTGAACCCGACAAGGGATTGTTTGCTCGGACCTCCTCGCCCAAGACTCGCTATTGCTCACTGCACAGAACATCTTCAATGGTAAAGGCGACCGTCAGCTCAAGTCGAAAGAATGACGCCGCTCAGGTTGATGTTCAGAGCAAGAGATGTTGCGAAGAGGGTTGCCAAGAGCGGTTTGTGCTTTGTGGTCCAGATGACCCGCTGATTCACTGAAAGGGCGCTGTGGGTAGATGCAGATTCCAAGAAAGGGTGAGGCGATGCAGCATGCTGATAGGGACCCTCACGAATTGCGGAGCAGGTTTTGCTCGGCGCATCGCAAGCCTGGATACGTCGATCTGTTTCACAAGAAGTGTATGGTTGGTGCTTTTGACGGAACTGATCAGATTTAGTGACTTGTCTCACCAGCACCCGGAGGGCTGCTTGAGGATCGCTGCTTACACCGTGAGTTTCATCTGGCACTTGCAGATTGCTCGAAGAAGTTTTTACCTTCGCTGTGCCTGTGCTCGAAGGAAAGAAACTGAAATCCCACGTGTGGTAGTTGCCGGGCAGCAATGCCCCTTTCTTCTGTTCCCTGCACAAAGATTGCGCATCACAATCGATGGAGAAGACCTGCCAAGTAACATCTCTTGGAGAAACACAACATATTACGTCGTGATGCATTGCTTCAGATTCCCGGATGTTTGAACAGACCTGTGTTTTCATGGTCACGCAACGAAACCGCCACCCATTGCAAGCTGCACAGGCAAAGAGTGTGGAACAGAGTTAAAGTGTGTGATGAAATGCCTAGACGTCCAGAACAGATTCAGAAGCGATCTCGCGTGTGCTACGCTGACGGCTGTTGCAAACAGCCGACGTTCGGGTGAAATGCACTCAGAAAACTCAACGATCATTTACTTGCAACTTTCCCCCATCAGCAACACCTCTGACCCTGTTCCTGTCGCCTGCAAGTTTCATCGTCTGCCGCATCATATCGACGTTGTCAACAAGAGATGTCAATTCCAAGGTCCCGAGGTCTGAGGCGAATCTCCTGCTTACCTTCCTCTCATCCAGGTTGTCTCCGCCGGCCAAGTTTTGGCCAAGAGAGCACACGGGTGATGCTTTTCTGTGGACTACACGCAAACAGGTAGCCGTTCCCTCTCTTTCTTTTCTCACCTTGCTCTCCTCTTCCTGCACTCCCCTCCTCCCCTCCTCCTCTCTTGCCCTCCTCTCGTTCTCCATCCAGTCCCTCATCCTCTTCCTTCGTGCCCCCCTGACTCTCTACCGCAGATCCCAGCACGTGGACCTGCGGCATGCGAAGTGTCGTAGCCCTGAAGTCTGCAGCCGCTTAGCCACCTACGGCTTCCTCCAGGACGGCATCGCAAGATTCTGCGCGCATGTGACGCCTCTTCCTCGTCCTCTTGCTCTTCGTCCTGCTGCTCCTCGTCCTGCTGCTCCTCGTCCTCCTTTCTGATCCTGGTTGGTAACAGCACCAGGAGAGCAACATGGTCTGCTTGCCCAAGTACAAGTGCGACATCGTTGCTTGCACAAACAAACCCAACTTCAAGAAACCATTGGTTGCCCGCCACCCTCTCTCTGCCTCTGCCTCTGCCTCTGCCTCTGCCTCTGCCTCTGCCTCTGCCTCTGCCTCTGCCTCTGCCTCTGCCTCTGCCTCTGCCTCTGCCTCTGCCTCTGCCTCTGCCTCTGCCTCTGCCTCTGCCTCTGCCTCTGCCTCTGCCTCTGCCTCTGCCTCTGCCTCTGCCTCTGCCTCTGCCTCTGCCTCTCCCCCGCCTCTTCTTCACTCTTCCCCCTCGTTTCCCTCTCCCTTTCTCTCCTGGTCTCCTTACCTTTCCTCACCTTCTTCTGACTGCCTTGCAGTTTTCTGGGAACGATCGATTTTTATTGTGCAAGTATGACTACTCTTCTTTTGATTCTTTCCCACGATTTCTTCTATCGTCTCTCTTCAGCGCACTTCCAATCCTTCGTTATCCCTGCTCGCCATTCCTCACCTCCTAGCTCCTCCTCTCTTCCCCCTTCGTTTCTTGTCCCTCTGACTGTCATCTCATCTCTTCCTTCAGGTCGCATTACGCAGACTTCTTGCAAGGCCGTGTGGACGAGTCGCACACGCGATATCAGAGCGTGTCTAGCTCAGCGTCTCAAGAGCCTCTGACTTGATTCGTCAGTCAATATCTCTTACTTCATTTTAATGAATCTCTCTCATGTGACCTCCCGGCCGGTGGCGAAGCCTTCGGAAAAGCGTCAGCATGGACAAGACCATCCGGACCTGCAGTAGTGAAGGACTTGAAGGATCCGAAATCTTCCTTTCAGGGCGGTTCAGTTCGTCCAGAGTTTAGTTTGAAAGGCTCCACGCGAGTTGAGTAAAAGTTACGATCTAGCGAGCAGGAATGCAGCGGAGAGAGGGGGGAAAGGGGGTGAGGAGGGAGGACGTGAAGCAGAGGGGGGTGTGATGTGACGTGTCGTAGCTACTCCTCTACCTTCTAGTCTTGTTATGATCTACTCTCACGTTGCTCTCAAACATGCTCGATGCGTTTGTTTCATGAGGGCAATGCCAACGCTATGCTGTGATATTGGCAGGAGCCGCTTGGTGCCTTGAGCTTTTGTTTCGCTCATTTGTCCTCTGGATAGAAGCTTCGGCCTAGCCTCAATAATATCTTACAGTGCATGTGGTTTAAGCCATCCCTCCTCTCTTGTCACCTGCACCTCTTGATTCGTAATGCCCATTATGTTCAGGTTGCCTGCAATGAAGGGGCCGCAGAAGAGGAGGCTGCCCGAAGAAGAGCGGGAGGACCCAGAAGCGAAGAAGCACAGGGATAACGAAGATTTCCAAGGCTCTCATGAAGGATCATCGTCTCAGATTCATAACCAAAATGGATCGAATCGCCCCTGTGAAACTTCTTCCGAGAGACGGAGTAGGAGTTTCATCGGTCTCTTGTCACGACTTGACCATTGTGCAGATCTTTCTTCCGAAGTAATCCCGCGCACAACGTCAATGGAGAGCTGGCAGAAGAGCAGCAAGCATGCCACTCAGCAGGAGACTGACAGTAGTAGCCTGAGAGAAAGACGGCAGTCTTGGAATGTAAGCATTTTAGTTGAGTGCTGCGAACATATCTAACCAATGTCCTTGTCAGCGAACATCATCTACAAGCAGCATCTTCTCTAGATCGTCTTCTTTGTTCATGTCGCATGTCGGAAACACAGGCAGCAAGCTGTTCCTTCGGACTGTATGATTTTTGCGATCACCGTCTTGCAGTTGGCTCATGCTTTACCTCAGGCATCGCAGTTCTCGTATTTCTCATCGCAGAAACCGAAGAAGTCTTCAGACCCCAAGGTGTTGGCGTTTCTTAGCAAGTTTAGCTGGTTTGAAACGTTGTTTGCAGAAAAGATTGGAGGGGTTGCTAGGAAAACTGAACTTTGAGTTCACGGGCAAGGAGGTACAACGAGATTTTGATTCACGGGCGGCTCACACGTCGTTTCAGGAAAACCTGATAGTTGAGGCGTACTCATGTCCAGTTTGTAAAGATCACTCGACAACCTGCCACCAGGTTCGATCCCTTGCAAAGCTCAGCAGCTTATGACTTCCTTTCCATGACAGATCCGTGCGGTTTATGACGCTTTCCAGCTGAGCTGGGCCGGTGTGTATTCTAGTGCGCAGAAGCCTGAGTGGGATGCAAACGAGGTTGATGCTCATTGCAATCTCAGTTGAGAAGTGAGAACCTTGTCGCAGGGCCTGGAGCGGCAGGAGCTCTCCATCGAGGACTTAGATGCAACATGTCGCAAGACTGAGATCGGAGCTGACTTTCGTGAGGTGAGCGTCGTGAAGTCCATGGGAGTGAAATGGATTGAGGATTGGTTCCATCAGCATCTCTACCGCAACCTGCGCAAGTTGTCTCGTGTCCATGGAACCTCGACGCATTTCAATGCGCAGGTGACGTGGAATTTTCCACCAACCGCCAGAGTTGTACTCGACTGAAATCATGATTGAAGGAATTTATGGTTTCTTTCGCGCAAACTCTTTTGGACTGCCCATCAGACAAGAGAGAAACGTACAATCGATCGCTGGGAAGGATGTTTGGCATCGAGAAGACACAACAGCGTTTCAGACTGAGGAAATTTTGGTTGGCATTTCTTGTGAGTTTACGTGTCATAAGACAAACTTCGTCTTACTCTCGTTGCTACCAGGGAGATAACATGGCGATGATGACTCATCCGATTTGTGTTGCTCAGAACATCTTGGGGATCAGAGGACGGAGATCTCTGTTTCAAATCTTGTTAGTTGTTCTCCTCCAAAATTTCCTGCAACTTGACTTCTTGCCAACAGGAGTGACGCTACCTGGCTGCCGTTGCCATACCGGAAGTTCAGAGACTTCCAGGTACGTCGATTGTGATGTGCTGAAAGCATCGAGCATCGTTGTCATCGAAATTTTGAGTTCTGACGGTTGTGCTCGACTCAGCATTATCTCATCAAATTGTGGTTACCGACACTGATCTCGACGATCGTCTATCTTACCTACATCGAGAGGTGGGCTGTATGATCACGAAAATTCAAGCTAATGCGCTGAAATGCTCAGCATGCAACGAGTGGCTCTGATCGAAGTGATTGGCCCGTTCATCTTGTACTGGTTGATCGGTGAGGAACAATTGGAGGGAAAGAGAATTTTCATATTTTTGACCACGATTTCCAGGCTTCATCGTTGCAACCAACTCAGGTTCTCGCAGACTTAGACTTGTCTGGTTGATCATTGCTTCGAACAGGGTTTGAACATCGAGGGCATGTGCTGCGCAGGAAATACATCTTAACAGGCGAATCTAAGTCTGAAGACTTTCGTGCCACATTTGCTTTTAGGTACTTTTTCTCGTGGACTTGCTTACATTCTCTGATGTTTTTGAAAGAGCTCACACACCAGAAGGTCACGCAGGTGATGATAGATATCTTTTCCCCCTTGAGCCATCTTGTCATTATTTTCCCTTGTTTGGTGCTTGTTGCTGTCATGGAGAACTTTCTCTGTTTCCTGCCTTCTTGCAGCTTGTTCATCCCAACGAAATTTTCATGTAGTTGAAAGAATTGGGATCATTGCCGATCACCTTTGCGGGAAAGCCTTCAAGGTTTGCAACATCAATCGTGCAGTCGATCAGGTCTTGATCGTTCTGATCGAATCCTGTAGAGGTTCAGCGTCTCGCTCTCAAAGGCCATCGGATTTCTGCATTTCTTGGTCCCAATGCTCAACAGGATCTACTCTGACGTGTTTGGGGACTGGAGAAGGACTTTGTTGTCAGACGAGAGGACTTTGATGGATGTGCAAGTGTGGAGGGAGATCCTCTCAAGAGTTTGGCTGTGGATGTTTGGAGGTTCTTTCTCCAGCTCTCCTTTGTGTTGCCAAGTGAGAGACTGATGTAGGAGATTTGTGGATTCATGTCATTGTTACTGGACCACCGGCTCTGATCTCCGGATACTTGATGTACCGACTGGTAAGACTGGGAGGTTGCGATGGTTGCTGAGATTGATTGTCCAGCTCTTTATCACCTTTGACATCTTCTACAACGACCTTGGCTTCCTGTACAAGCTGAAGCTGTTACGGTGAGGCGATGATCAAAGTTGAGCTGACGATGAAGTGTGTGGAGAGATGTGATTGCTTTCTGATGTGATGCGCGATGAAGACGAGGTGGCCAACAACATGACAACTTTGCAGTGCATCGACAATATCAGGAGCATATCTCACGTACAGAAGGTTATCGGTCTTGTGCTTCTTTCTGTTTTCTCATGCTAATTTACAGAAAGTGGATGCTTGCTCGAAATATCTCTGGTGATGAAAGTGTGAGAGATCAAGATTTTATGCAGTTTCTGTCGCTTCAGGTGAGCTTTCGATCACGTAGCGCATGTTGGCACAACGTGAAGGATCTGATGCTGGTTGATGATCACAATGGATGGTCCAGGACGAACAAGACTTGATACAGTGGTGTCTCATTAGACAGTTGTTGATCGATTCTTGTGCTGGTTTCAAGAACACACAACGAGATGTGGTAAGTTGATTGATACAACCATATCATTTCCGTTTCTCATGGAGTGCTTGCAGGTCTTTGCGTATATGTTCCTTGCCCTCGTCGTCCTTTCCTTTCTTATCGTTCTCAAACACTATGATTGGTGGTTTGGAGGTGAACAACCTTGAAACGTGACTTGATGCTTTTCTGATCTCTGTCATCAGCCGCAACCATATCTCGTCCAATCAGTGTGTTGGACCTTTGGACTCTGTTAGATTGCGGCATCTTCAGGTTCCATCATGAATAGATTGAACTTACGTGTTTATCGTAATCATTCGATGCAAATTTTCGCTGTGTCGTGTTGTGATCTGTCATTCTACTCCTTCTAATCACTCTGTCTCTCTCTTCTCACTTGACTTACAATCTTCGCAGCATCACCTTGACGAGCATCATGTACCTCAAACTCGCTCTCTACGACCTTCGCAGGAGCGACATCCGGCTGCTCCAATCTGAATTTTATCGCGCGAGTTTGTTGAAGAGGTCAGTCCGAATCCGTTCCTCCCTCGTTCACCTCTGCTATCCCCTGCTGCCTCGTGCTTCTCTTCCCCTCCTCTCACGCCCTCGCCATCCTCCCTTGAGGTGAATCGTTGACTTCTCAGGGTATCGGGAAACCACGATGACTCCGAGACGAGACCTGCTGATTCTTTCTCCCGCACAGCCAGCGGAAATTCGGTTGGTCCCCTCTCCCCTTCCCCCTTGTCCATCATCTTCCCACTGCTGCTTCCTCTCCTCCCCTCCTCTCGTCTCATCCTCCGCTCTGACACGAGCTGCAGAACTGTCCTTCCTGTCCTGAGCTAATCCCGCATGACGCCCTCGAGCCCTCCTTCGCCTCCTTCAGCAGCGTCGTCCCCATCATGGGCTCCGACTACTTCTCCGGAGGCCTGTCGGGCGTCCACTCAGCTTTCGGCTCCGCCTTCTACTCCGAGCGGTCCCTGACCCGGGGGAGGATGGGCAGGAGATCTCAAAAGTTCGGTACCTCAAGCCTCTCAGTCCCTTGGCCTGGACCAGAGACTGGAAGGAGCCCCGGCAGCACGGAGCTGCAGGTACTTGTGACACCTGCCCTGCCCTGCCCCTCCGCTTGCCTCGCGCTCATACCTATTCTAGATTCTCCTCGAGCAGACTGCTCGATACATCCAGCAGTTTGACAGGCCCCCCACTCTCCTTGGCTACCCGGTGACTCTCTGCTGCCCTGAGGTTGCAATGGCTGACTGGACTCTTACTGCTCTTGCAGTTCACGTGGGAGGTGTTGAGATACATGTCGCTATCACTGGTAGCTGCGATCATCACGGGTCTCAAAGTAAGATTGTTCCGAAGAGAGAGGGTCGAGGAGAGGAGGAGGAATGGGGGACAGTGAGGAGGAAGGGGACGAGGGGGGAGGGGGGAGGGGGGGGATCGGTGGGGGAAGGAGAGTGGGGCGGAGGAGAAAGGATGGAACTGAGTGTTGTTTGCAGGGAACAATCTTTCGTAAGCTGACGTTGTCGTGATATCTTCACGGCGGTTGTGCGCACTGGAACGATTCATCCTGAACCACAGCTATCCCTCCTTTCCTCCCACCCTAACCAAGAATCATTTCACTACCGAGTGACGCGGGAGTGCTTCAGGGAAACGACAAGGCCAGGCAAGCCTCTTGTCATGATGTCATTTGTACTTGGTCATCGTAAACGTACTTCTCTCAGTCTCTCTCCACTACACTGATAATCTGATTCTTGCAATGATGTCCATGGCCGACATGACGACACTTAGTAATCTAGGCCTGCTCCTCAACTTCCCCCTCTTCCTCCTCAAACTCCTCGTCCTCCTCCGCCTGCATCTGGAATTCACCTGAGAGGACCCTGAAAGCGTGCGAATCAGAATCCACGAAAACACTTGACAACAAGCTCACTTCTCAATATCCTTGATGGCGGTGCTGACACTAGCATCGATCAGGATCTCGCCAACCTGGATCTTGACGCCGCCGATGATCGAGGGGTCGACCTGCATGTCCACAAGATACCTCTCATCCGGATCCTTCATCTCTTCGAGCTTTTCATCCACCAGCTCCTTCTCGTCAGTTTCGAGATTCCTCGCGGTCGTGACTGTCACTGGAATCTCGTTGCGGTGAGCTCGCATCAGGACAGCGAAGTCTTCGAAAATCCGAGGAAGCTCGTTCATCCTTCCGGTGTCGCAGAGAAGACCTTGCATGAAGTCACAACATGAGGACAACACCAACAACCATCATGAGGATACCAAAGAAATCCTGCACGAGTGGGTCGGCCTGGTCCGCGATACTCATCATGGTCTGCTTCTTCTCATCGCGGGGCAGAGAGGGGTCCTTGATGAAGAGCCGGAAGGTCTCGTCTTTTTCATAGCACTGCCTCAATATATCCAGGCTGGACTCCACCGTTGGCAACTTCTCCATCTTGGCTGCTGAAAGCCAGAGGGCACCGGCATAGCGTCCGGAGACACCGTGAACAGTCTTGGGCAACACATCCATTGCTGCAGCACTTGCGCTGAAGAATCGACGACCCTGAAATCATGATGTCAGAGATCGACAAGAAGTGAAAAGCCTTCACACGTCTTGATCATCCTACTCATCTCTTGTCCCGTCACTCCTCAATATTCATGTGAACCAAGCAAGCGTGTACAACAGTCACAGAGACAGATTCTGACTTGACGGCAGTATACAATAAATCGAATGAGTAGATTAGGTACATGCTGATCTCCAAGTGCAAGGGGCCGGCACATGGCTTCAGAAGATCCCGTGCCTTTTTCTCACAACATCGAACATGCAATCCCAACAAATATTGTAATTTCGAGATGTACTTACAGGTATTAATAAAGCACAACGGGATGATTCATTCAGTCAGAGCACAAATTCATCAGTCATGTGTGAAATCACCTCCCTCCTCGCATCCAAAACACCATACCACATCATCCTGTCCTCAAAAAGCTGTTCACCTGATTTGGCTTTGATCTACCATACTTTCCAACCACAAATTCCTTCCCTCACAACCTTCACACATCATATCTACTCTTCTGCTGTCATATCATCCTCGAACCCATCGTCTCCTCCTCCTCCTCTCAAGCTCACCATACGGGCGCCTTGTGGAAGCAGCCGCCTCAGCATCGCGCCGCCGTTTCCTACCCCAACGGTGCACCCACCCCTCATTCTGATTACCCAATTTAGCTCTGCAGTACCCTGAATTGTTTATGAATATTCACACCAAATGGAGGGGTACTTATTATTGCCACCCCCGAAAATGGACCCCGTGTGACCTGCGTACCCTCTGTCGAGGAGCACGAATCGACTCATACAAATATTTTAGATATATAAATCATTTTTAGTTTCTAGACCCACCTCTAGATTCAACGTTGTAGAATTTTATTTTTCAATACTACATAATTATGTTTTTCCTGTTGAAATTTCACCAAAAAATGTTCAGGACAACAACCAAAATGAGACCTTTAAACCCTCTATATTTTTTTTGTTTAATACTCACCCCACCCCATCGGTACAATTAGTATCGCTCTGTACTACCTCACCTATAAGATGTTGTATGGAGCTCCCTCAAGACTACCCTGTCTATCGTCCGTTAACACAGGCACCTACCCCTCCATCGTAGAAATTCATCTACAAAATAGTTATTAAAGCCGCTCCTCTGTTAGAAATTAGAAATTTATAAAGAATTTTATAATGTTTGAGTATAGATACTGAAATTTTGTACTGATCTCGACGATCTCAGTACAAAATATATCTATAAAAATAATATTTGTTTTTAAACTTCTAAAAATATTTGTTTACCTCTACATTTCCGGAAGAGCAGGAAATCCACCATGAAATTGATTACCTACCCTAGTTTATCTCACTTAAATTGACGATATTGGAGGGGCCCTGTGCCAACAATTGAGGTGTCGGTAGACCCTTGACGCAACTAAACAAGTCGCCGCCATGCGCTTCGGTGCGCGGTTGCTTCATGCACCAGTGAAGTGAGTAACGACAGAAAAGCAGCAGATATTGTTTGATGATGCGAACATCAATCTTTTTGGCTGTGTTATGAGCAAAACCTATCTTCAAGTTACCCTCTGGTCTCATGTCTGAACCGACCCCGTGCTCATGTCTGTTTCTGGAATCTACTGAAAATGCGCGAGGACATGGAGAGGCGATCGCTCCAGCATGCATATCTTCCTTGTTTTTGTTATTCTAAGTATTATTATGAGATATTGGGCATTCTTTGATGGGTTGTTGTTATAATTTGCGATGTGATGCTCTGAGCGAGCTTTGGTGGTGTACAGCTAACTCTGTTCCGAATCATGATCGATGCCAACAAGGGCTCAGCAACTAACTGCAGTTCTGTTCAGAACTGGAATCCGATCCTTCGCTGGAAACATGGTTCAACGAAGACAGAACTCTTCGAATGCCTTCACTGAGGAGCTCATGAAGAAATTCGGACTCACGACACCTATCCACACAACGCCAGCCCCTGATTTGAACAAGTACCTCGACAACATGGCTTCGCCTGAGGCCAAGTGATTTTTAGCATTTTCTAAATCATTGTGTGCTTACTATTGTGGGGAATGCGCAGGGCACATGGAGAAGCTTTGAAGGCCAGGATTGCTGATATCAATTCCAGATTGGCCTCTGCCATGAAGGCAAAACCAGTGAGTGGTAGAAAAGAAGGCACAGCAAAGTCGCTTACTCTCATCTAGGTGAACTGGGAGGAGTATGAGAAGACTGTTGGATATCCTGGCTTGGTATGCGCAGCTTCTGGTTGAATCATTGAAATGACTCCGGTTTAGGTTTCCATGTTGAAGGAGCGCTTGGATTCTTTTGAGGCAACGAAATTCAGCAGCCCATATCAGCAGGAGCTGCAGACTCGCTTTGCGGAAATTGTGCGTTTGTGCTTTTCGTCGAAGAGCTTTCAAGACATTGATTGCTTTCTGTGCGCAGATTGAAGAAGCCGAGGCTTTGACTAAGCAAGCTCAAGATGCTAACAAGGTTGCTTCCCGAGAATAGTGATTGTGGTTGTAATATCTAAAACAGGAGCTCGAAGCAAGATTGAATGAATTGGAGCAGCAATCTTCCTGGGAGGACGTGACCATCGCCGAAGCGCTGGAGCGTGATCCTGCAATCAAGCGCGAGATTGAGCAGGACATTGAGAAAGGACACTTCTGGGTGCAATGAAGCGAAAGGACATTGCACTCCCCAATGGTTGATTAGGATGAGCTGGATGGATTCTAGACCTTGCATGACGATCAAAGTTGGAAAAATAATTAAATGCAGGCAGCAGACACGCTTTGTCTCGGTTTTTCCACCTCAGTCCGGTATCTGCCTGACAAAGGACTACTAAGACACCCTTTCTGTCTAGTTTGAATCTGGATCCCTATTGCTCTCCGCTGAGAGTATATTTTACTGGGTCATAGCCAAGAATTTTCATGCTTCATAACTATTGGGACACGTAAGGAGCCTTCAAGAGATACAGCACCTGTACGTGACACGATGACAAGTTCAGCACTCCTTACACAAATTGCATAAAAACTCACCCTTCCGTTGCGCTCATTCTTGTGGAACTTGGACATGTCGGCCTGCACATCGTCACTGATCCGCGACATGCCTTGAGCTGCGCCATCACCTTGGAATCCATCTTCTGGAATTCAGGAATGGACGCTCTGACCTCAGACATAGGATCGGGGTTGTAGGGAGGGGGCTTGCGGTTGATGTCTGAGGGCCTGGTCTTCCTGGGCCTGTTCTTTCTCGCCTGAGGTAAACGGTCAAATTGATCATCAAGATCCCAACAGAAATCTTTTGCAGAAGAAGGAATGGATGCTTCACCTTCAGAGCTCCCTTAGGATTCGGGTGGTGGGCCATGCTAAGGGATGAGACTCCAGTGCGGCATCTCAAACCCGCTCCCTGCTCATTCACAAACGACATAAGCTTATGACAAACTCATGATTTCAAGAGGAAGATAGCAAAATCTCCGTCCACGCATAGAAACTACTTCTTTGTAACACAAACTTATGCAAAAGAACATTTTGAAATGCACACATGAACTCAAAAACCTCTCCAGCATGCTTTTAAACGGAAGGCCTCATCCGGAACATTGATCAGGGTTGATGTCGATTTCCTTCCTGTTCTGCCCTGACCATTCTGAGTCTGCTACATCTAGCTTCTTCCCATTCATGGCTGCTCTTACCTGAGGAGCAACCGGCATGAAGGCTTCCGCGATTGATGCCATAGCAGCCGCGCACAAGATCAACAGTCGCGCCATGCTCGTGGGAGTCTCTGGAGGCCGAGGGTCTGGAATAGCGATGCGAGCGACAGTTTAAAAATATATTATATAATCACAACCCACCCTATTATACCGGTGCATTTTTCCTTATGATCACCGGGTACTCTTAGTCTGAATCAAACCGAATAACGCAAGTCCAATACTATTGAAAGGGTGGGTGATCAATTATAATTTCAATGGTTATTCAGGGATGAAACGGGGGTGGGGTGGGGTGAATGTGGGTGGTGCCTTCAATTTTCTTTCTTTCGATCTCACGGGAGGCCGTGAGCCTTGGGACCACAGGTCGACTATTATATAATAAAATCAGAGCAGATAACTATGAATAGTACGATATCGCCTCAAGTCCTCAGTACAAGGATAAAATATAAATATTTATTTGTAGATATGTGTTAATTATTGTTTTAAGTTCGTAGAAAACATAAAACTTATAAAAGTCGCATGCGGTTCAGGACAGTTACATTAGTCGTTACTTTATTCTACTTCACAGTTACGTACAGTTACAAGCTAGCGAAGGGGCACACCGTAATGGCAGACGGGCGACGGCTGGTAAGATAATGAGTGGCGAGATGGCAACAGGGGAGGAGGATACCAAGAAGAAGATAATCTGTATGCAGAGAATGAGAGACAAAGGGGTTTGGCAGGGGACAGGTTAGACAAGTAAAGCAACAAGAGGTTTGGGATGAGTTGTCGATGAAATGCTTTATTGGAGTGTACACAGGACCAGAAGTTGATTGTTTCTGTTGCCGGATAGAAACTCCCATGTTTAGCACCTAAATGATAATTAGTATCAGTCTTATGACCGTGCTTGCTTAGAAATTTTGAGAGAAGAGAACTGGGTGTACGGGACATGCTTATAGTTACTGTGGTTCTCTGATAACTGTGGTGCAGCTCACGGTACAACGGGGCTTGCTGCTTCTCCTTTCTGCCGGTAACACATGGTTTGCCATGAAATTGCCGTTGAATTTACACCTCTTGTAGGTGTACTGCTGTCGTTGGATCGATCGGGAATCGTCCACCAGAGCTTGTTGTCAAAGAACACGGCGGAGAATGTAGAAGGGTCCCTTACGTACTTGGATCAACTTCACCCCGAGCAGAATCAAGCCATCGGCAAGGTATCGATCTGGATGTTTTCTCTTGGTGATGGCTCAATCGCTGATCATATCTTACAGCATCGGTACAACTACCACAACTCCATCAGTGCGGCCAAAGAGCTCGACTCGTACTTCGACAACATCCCAACTCACGATGTAAACTCCGAGCATACCGGGACAAAGATCAGAAACCGTGCCATCGTACAGTCAGCGAATGCGGATGAGGAGTGGTCGAACGGTCGTCAGAATCTGCAGAAGGCGATCAACATCGTACAAAAGGACGGCGATGCTGCTCTGGAGAGAGCAGTTCAGAACGGATTTTTATCTGATAGTTCCGCCGCATCATCCAGCAGCAAGTCACAGCAGACTGCAGGGATGGATGGGTCTAGAGCCAGAATGTATGCCAGGACGATCGGGTCTCTCAAGGGTCAGATCCAGAAGGAGCAGGACCTGATGAAAAAGCTTCAGCGAGACTTGGCCGCGTCTTCTGAACAGAAATCGGCTGTGAAGCAGGACGACAAAACTCTTGACTTCAATCCTCAGAGCGAAGGCTGGAACTATGACCAGTTTTCAAATTTCAACCCACCAGTCTACCAAGGGCCATCGCCCAAGAAGGGCGCCAAGGCTGACAACAAGGACGTGGTTGCATCGGCGCAGGATGTTCTCCAGAAGGTGCGCGCAGTGTCTCAGAACATGGACGCTGAGAGGAAAGAACTTGTCCATGCAAGAGAGTCAGTCAGAGAAGCGGAACAAGTGATTGACAGCTCGCTTCAAGGACTCGAAGATTCCAAGTCAGCGGACAAGGTTGCTTTGCATTAACATCTTTCACTGGACTCTGACATTTGAACAGACACAGTCCTTGAGGATTGCCAAAGAGGGTGACAAGAGCATGGACTTGAATCCTTACTACTCCAACGGGTGGGTTTATGACGAGTTCTCGAACTTCAATCGTCCCACCAACAAAGAGGTCGAGTATGTTCCGGCCGGTTACTACAACTCCAAGTATGGCTTCACCACAGCAGATTTTCCTCCGAAGGCTCCAGTCCCAGAGCATGGAAGGTATGGTGATCTTGCTAGCAAGACCCAGTCACTCTCTTCGAACAAGGCTGCGGTTCAGCAGCAGCTCACTCGAATCCCCAAGGCTGGAGATAAGAGCATGGACCTCAACCCGTACTGGAGCAAGGGGTGGAACTACGACGAGTTCTCCAACTTCAACAAGCCCATGCAGAAGGAGGAGATGGTTCAGGCTGGGGAACTTAATAAGAAGTATGGGTTCACTACCGCTGATTTTCCTCCTAAAGCTCCCGTCCCTGAGCATGGGCGGTATGGAGATCTGGCGTCGAAGCAGATCCCCAAGCTTTCAGCAAAGCAAGTTAAGCTTGCGATGAAGCAGGATGAGAAGTCATATGATCAGACTCATCATGAGCTGAAGCTGGCTCAGGGAGCTTTGGCTGCCATGGAGAAGGATACTTTAAGGCACCACACGGTGGCGGAGAAAGGGGGTCTTCGCCCAGCCAAGGAGATTGAATGGGATAAGGAGAATATGATCAAGACCACTAGTGCCAAGAAGACAGTCGATGCCCTGTCGTCACAGCTCAAGCAGAGAGAATTGAAGCTCGACGCAGACGTCAACGAGATGATGGCTCTGCAAAAGAAGGCTGGCAAGTCGACCATGGGTTGGCTGGGCTCGCACATTCTCCACGGGCTGTCCGACCGGGTAACTTTCGCTTCTTCTGCGTCCTCTGCATATCTAACCGAATCTCAGAGGAACGCTCCGACGAGTCAGCAGATGCATCTCTTGCACCGAACCAGCCCGCACGTCCAGACCAGGAGCACGCAGTTGAGGTCGCAGGTGAGCTAATCTGCTCCTTTGCCTGCTTGCTCGTGACCTCTTGTCAGCATGGTTCCCCGGATCCAGCGCAGCGCGGGGCTGTCAGCTACATTAAGGACCTCGCTAGTGCTGGGCTATGTGGGATGTTTGGGGTTGCTTGCTAAACGCTTGTATTTTGATTACAACTCGTTTGATACATCTGTCACTCCAGACCTTTTAGTTCGCCTCTAATCCCTTCTTGTAAGCATCGAAATCGAAGAAGCACATGATCTTTCCAGTCACCTGCACCTGACGTCAGTAAAATTCGACAAAGATCGATTACGTTTACATCGTCAAAGTCTGAATCGCCCCCACAACTGTTACCCGATGAGTACGCCGTCCAATCGAACCCAGACTGAGAAGCAGGAGTGTCAACGAGGTCACAGGGCGCGAGCTGATGATCACCTTAACCAACTTTGCATTCGAGCAACAGGATTTTTCGTCGTCATCATTCTCATCACAGTTGCCGTACCAGTGCGCCCTGCGCTTTCCTGATCCCATGATGCTGTAGCTTTGCGCCGTTGCAACAGGGCCATCAATGATTCCCTTGTTCCCGTACTTAGCAAGCATACAAATATTTCGAGCCTGATTGGACCCCGTTCCATGATGATTGTCATCAAACGTCTTCCCTCCGAAACGGAGCCCGTCGTCATTCGAAAGAATAAATCCTGCTTTCTCATCGCAGTGCTTGCACAGTTTCTCGCACTTGCCACACAGGTTGTCCTTTACGCCCAGCGCGAAGCAATTCTTCGTCTTCAAGTAGCACTGTCCTTCCGGCCACTCTCCGCTCGTCTTAACGTTGGCCACCTTGGGCGGACCGATGCCATTGAAACCGGCTTTTCCAGGAGGTCCAGGGGACCCGGGGGGGCCAGGTTTACCAGCCTGTCCCTTCTCACCTTCCGGTCCTCTCTTTCCTGGAGCCCCGTTCTTTCCTGAAGGGCCTGGAGCTCCCGGAGGTCCTGGGTAGCCGGGAGGACCTGCAGGGCTGAAGGAAGATAAGACATGAACATGCCCTCCTCCTCTCACCTCGAGATCCCTGGAGGCCCTGGCACCCCATCCTCCCCGTTCATCCCCGGAACTCCCTGCGAGCCTGGCAGGCCTCGAGCACCCGGAGGTCCCGGCAGGCCTTGAGGGCCCTGAGGACCCCGTCTCCCCTGTCAGCAGCGCGTAAGAGGACAGCTGGGGCTGCAGCCTCAACTCACCTCAGGCCCCTTCCCTCCTGCAGGCCCGATGCTTCCCCTAGGGCCCTTCTTCCCTGGCCTTCCGCGGAGACCTGGTGGGCCGGGAGGACCCGGGTATCCTCGAGGACCGGAGGCGCCATAAGATCCTATAACATACTGCATCAGCACACGCATCCTCCTCCTGCAGTGCGAGAGGGCACAAGGTCACCTTGAGGGCCTCGGAGCCCCGTCGGTCCCACTCCTCCTTTGGGCCCTGGGTCTCCTCGGGGCCCCCTAGGGCTGATTCGAATCCTCATCGTCTTCCAAGGGCCGTCCGTGTACGTTGACCTCTCGTCGCGCAACTCGTTCTTGAGGTCCTGAAGAGACTTCTTGAAGCTCTTGATCGTGACCCTTGTCCCTTGATCGTGCTGGAACACATCATCTGGATCCAGCCCGATGGAATCACCATCTAGCAGGTCCTCCATCTTCCTCTCGGACTCTTTCATGTACTCGCTCTCCTTGAATGCCGGCTCCTGACAGTACAGCGAGGTGCACTTTGTTTTCTTCGCCAGAGCGATTCCATGCACAGCATGTCGCACCGCATGATTGACTGCCGCTCCTTCTGGACCTTCATCTTCATCCAAGAAGCTGTCAATCTTTTGTTTCGCCAGCTCAAGGGGGGAATCCAGAAGGTCGGCAAGCTTGCTTGAAACCAGCTTGTTGCCTCGGGCGACAGTCCCTTCTTGATACAACACATCGTCACCCCGCTTACTTGTTGAAATCCTTGTGACGAGTAGAACAAGAGAAACGGAGAGGAGGAGGAGGAGGAGGATCGCTCCTCCTGCCATCAACCCTCCTCCGCGCCGCCTGTCTGCCATGGCTGTCACGAAGAGCCGCACAAATTGCAGGTACTCTGAATTCTTTCAACATCTTCATGAAACTCAATATACCACCCCTCCTCAGACCTATAAAGTACCCCTCCATCTGATCAAGTTTCTACCAGCGAGCTCGTTCTCGCAAAATCAGATTTAACTGAACCTCCCTTCAAGTTTTAATTATTGGTGGTAATTTTGAAATCAAAACTAGACTGACCATTTCCTAGAGGACTTGTGCTTCCATGTGGTGAGCCTGCGCTCGAAGATGTTCTTTGCCTTGGAGAGGTTGGAGCCGGCCTGAGCCAATCAGCATGAGAACGGGAACGAGAATGAGATCTGTCTTTCATGCTCCTGTCAACAGAGACTGCTCTCCTGCTATCGTCCTTGCTCCACTCCTCTTGCACAACATGCAACTCATCGACACAAGTACAAAAACCTCACCTTCCATGGGACGGATACGGCGAGGTTGATCTCTTTCATGAATGAATCCATGTCCTTCAGTTCTCGACTGAGGCAATCTTTCAGTAAACGTCAAGTGACAAACTGAAGATCAACACCAGAGGCTGGTGAAGAATGCACGTCGGCTGCCTTCAGGAGTCATCTTTGCTATCATGCACCTCAGGGCAAGATCTTGAATCTTCAGTCTCGTCTTGATCATGTTCAATCTGTCATCTCCTTGGCTCTCTAGCTGCTCAGTGAAGGATGTCAGCGAAGCACCTGCAGCAAACTCTCTCACCTCTTCCCAGAGGTTAGCCACTCTCTCTCGGGCTCTGCTAGCAAGCTTGTCATGCTCCCTGACCTCCAGGTTCGGGCTCGATCGGATCCAGTCTTGGTTGTTGAGAGTGTCTTCCAGATGGGTCAGCCGCTGTCCCTGCAGCGCAAGGTCGTTGAGGAAGGAGTCTGTGTCTGAAGGAAGGTTGGATCCGCTCATGGACGATCGCAGGGTCGAGATCTGCAGCAGCATCCTCGCCAGCTCCTTCTTCGAGTGGTTGTCGCCCAGCGCTCGCACGACGGCCTCGAGGTCCTGAGGGAGGAGGATGGAGATGAAGGCAGCGACAGCCGCGTGCCTGACGAACGTGTCGGTGTGATTCATGATCTTCAAGATATCGGCCATCGCCTTGCGATCTCCTTTCGGGCAGAATAGCATCATGGCTTCCTTGGCAACCCAACGGCAGTGACCGTCTTCGTGCAGAAGCAACGGGAGTGTCATTGGCACGACTTGAGATGGGTTGTTTTCCACGAGCTTTTGCAAACTCTTCATTGCAGCTGAGCGAACATCGTGATTTGCTTGCTGGAGGCATGCGATGACGCAGTCTATCGCTGTTTGATTCCCATGAGGAACGACGAGATGCAAGCATTCGAGAATGCACTCGAGCTTTGATGTCAGAGTCTTCCTTTTCCCTTGGATCGATTCATCATTGATATCGCTTCCTCGCATGCTATTCTCGCCTCCCTCGATTTGCTTTCCTTCCTCAGCGTCAAGCTGGCTGTACTCCTGCAGCACCTGACCCATTAGCTCGACCGACTGGGACATGTAGTCTTCATAAAAATACGGTCTGACGGGGTAGCCTTGTCGAAATGCTGATTGAATGAGTACGAGCGCTGAATTTCGAATCTCAAAGTCATCGTTCACTAGCCCATTCATGACTTGATCTAGAATGCTCTTATTCTGCAGGTCACATATGTCCATGAGTGCTACTCTGACGGCTGCGTAGACATGCTTGCTGTCATCCCCGTAGTTCTTGTTCCACGCTGTCATGAGTGCCTTCATGACAAGTGAGGATGGTGTCAACTGACTGATCCCAAGAAAGGCGCATTCACCTTAACCACAGGAGAGTTTGCTCCGAGTCTGACAAGGTTGTCTTCTTTGATGCTCTTCTCTTTCATCCATTGCGACACGACTCTGACCGCCTCAAGACAAACGTACCAAACCCCGTCGTCGAGCAACTGCATCGCTAGCGACATCGTTTGCTCAGACTGCAAACTCGTATTAGACCAGGGAAAGCCTTGTCTCGAAAACTCTCACGAAGTTTGAATCTCTGCTTGCCAGAGCCTGACATGCTTGGATCGCGCTGTGCCTGACCTGAAGGAAACATCACCAACAGGTCAACGGGGAGGATGAATGTAGCATCACCTCTGGGTTTGGATCTTCAGTGCAGGACTTGAGGACATTTACCACCTGCTCACTCACTCGGTCTGAAGCCAGTGAGGTGACGATTTGCAAGGCTTGCGTTCTTATCGACACGTCCATTCTTTGACGCCACTCAGCGAATCAATAGCCAACCTCTCAAACAACATACTTGGAGGAGCCTGGCCGTTGACAGAGAGATCCGAGCTCAACTATGAGTGCTGGCGCTCTTGCTCTGTTGGCTCCCTTGAGCACATCAGCTACCTCGTGTCGGATGTTGGCGTCAGTATCGCACAACATGGCGACGAAGGCTGGGGGAAGCAGTCACAAAGCCGCGACAGCTCCAAGGGGTCACCTGACGAGTACGACAGTGAAGGATCAAACCTCACAATCATTGTAGTCGCTGTGTGTCTTATCGCCTTGTGAAAGTCCAGCAGCTGCACACGTCAAGAAACAGAAGTTAAGTCGTAAGTGGACACATGATCATGCAAATCACATGATACAGTAGATACCGACAGACACGCTTTCTCTCGGACACGTCGAAAAGTGCTTCATGGACATATGATCACAGTCTCGAACAGGACAAAGTGAACTTGTTTTCTTTTCCTCACCTGTCAGCGATTTGATTCCGGCTATTCTCACCTCTGTTTCTTCGATTTCTTCTTCGAGCCGAAAATCTCCTTCTTCCAGGCATTTCCTCTCAAACTCAGCAAAACCTGCACCAGCAAATGGTTGTAACTCCATACAGCAAGGAGTAACCAACAGGAGACAGCTGCTTTTTTGATACATACATGTATCCTCATCACCGGTCTCAAGGTCTCCATCTTCATCGTGCGCCTTTATTTTGAGACCAATCTTGTCTTTCTCAACTGTTTTGTGTCTGCAGTCGACCACAGACAACAAGTGCAACACCGACGATCGACACTGTTCTGATATTAGCTTGCTTTCAGACTTGCAGACATGACAAGCTCACTCGCGAGAAGTCGCAAGAGGCAACTTGTCGGAGAGCATCGCAAGCTGTCCGTCTCAATTCCTTGGGTAAATGGTGTAAGACAGACGAAAGTCAACGATCTTGCTGAAATCTACCTCACGCGAGTCACAAAGAGCAGAAGCAAAACAATTGTCTGATTGAAACAAGAGGGCCAAACATCAACAACAGACAGACGACAAGGCATCATACCTAGATCTTCTGTTTCAAATGGATCCAAAGAGCTGTAAATGTGTCAGACATGTACGAAAGTTCTCCGTCGCAAGCGACTAACCCTGTCCTATCTACATTGATCGGGCTGTTAGGGAAGAGAACCTTTGAAGCTGAGATCGCTACCCTTCGAATTTCCCAATTCTCGTGCTTCATGTGCGGGACAAGTTCCCTCCGTCTCCTCCTCGTTCCCTCGTCATCCCTTGTGATGATTCCTTTCTCAGCAAGACTGCTGATCGCTTCCAAAGCTCGCTCTCTGACTGCCCTTTCTTCATCTCCCAATGACTGTATAACACATCCCACCACAGAAGAACCTTAGAACCCGTCATTGTCTCCAACGATTGAGAAGGAAATACCTCTCAGACAGAAACAGTCTAAGAGCTCGAGGATTGCGATGCGAACAAACATGTTTTCTTCCTGCATGATCTGCACAAGGTCTTCCACGAAAGTTTGCAGCAATATTTCTTGACATTCTTTCAACTCGTTGTCGGCGCGGGTTCTTTGCATCTCAAGAGCCATGGATGACATGGTTTGCAGAAGAGCTTCTCTGAAATAGCACGTGCAGATGTCGTTCTGAAACCTCTGCACCAGCCTGGTAAGAGTTGACTTGAAATCTGCAGGGAGCGTGAGAGAAGAAAGCTTGGCAATAAAACATTTCTTGTTTACCATTGCGACAGATTCTCCCGAGCGTTTCTGCAGCTGTAAAACGCAAGGATCTTCGGTGTATGTCAGCAAAAAAATCGTATTCATTTCACTCCTTCACTACCTATCGAACTCTTCAAGCAGCTCCGTGACGACTGTCAGGATCCTTTCATCGTCTTCACAGCAAGAGATGGCTCAGAGTGTCAGCAAGCGAGAAAGAATCAAGTACCCGTCTTTGACGAAGCTTTGTAAATCACCCCCAATGTTTGCAAGTAGCCCTCTTTGAGCCTGGGACATTTTCATCCGCCCCAAACTAGCTATGGCCAACAAGACCTGGCCGAGATCCTCGAACTTATTCTAGACATGACAAGCTTCACCTGCACCAGACCATTTCACACAAATAACATCTTCTTCTCTCATGACAGCACAGGCTCAGACTCAGATCCGAAGCACGGCTCATTCCCGATCAAACTGGAGATGCTGGAGAAGGCTGCTTTCCGGTGCGGGATGTGCGGGTCCTCCAAGAGTTCTAGCAGCTTCTTCACCTTGCCATAGGGAAGCTTTCAGTGTCGACATGCTCATATCTTCACCTTACAAGGTCCGAATGCTTCTTGCCATACTCGTCCCTGATAGCTGTCAGCAGACCGAACCAACACATACAGACTCGATGCCTCGATATTTCGAAGAGAATGGCAGAGAGTTCAGTTGGTTTGCTGGTTGTTGTCAGGGTTGGCTTGTCCTCCTGCACAAGGCGCATGTTACAGGTTTCTATCGATACATCTTGACACACCATGTACTTACCAACTGCCAGATCGGAGCTCCATCGACAGAGGACCTGACTATCCAGCCTTCTGAGACTTTTCCTCCCTATTACATCATCAATCATCGTTTCATGAGCAGCAGAGAGGTGATTGTTGTGCACGTCTGTGAACGAGAGATTGACGTGTAAGTCTGCATGTTCTTTCACCTGACTTCTTGTTTCAACACTCTGAGAGAGGTAGTCGTCTATTCTCCTCAACAGGCTCTTTCGCACAGCTTCGTCGACGATGTCAAGTACAACATCCTTGCATGTTGACATCTGCCATGATCGTCACCGACATGATCTGAGTTCTTCGGTCGACATGCTCACGGCTTGTTTGCTGTCGCCATTCTTCATCGCCTCCCCCATCTCTCAGACCATCTCCCCGTCAACTGCTCTTACCACCCCTACCCCTTTCTGAAATAAATACACCCGTATATTCTACCTTGACTACCCTAGTGATGAGATCGCGCCCTCGTACCCCTACCCCTGATTTGTTCGAGACCTCCACGCCATGCGGCTCGTAAGCTTCGCGATGCAGCGAAGACGCGGGATGGAAGGGGATGGCGAAGGCGAGAGCAGGAAGAGCACAGGAAGTGAACACAACGATGTCGGCGACGATGATGACGATGATGAGGAGGAGGCAGACGAGGAGGTGAGCCTGACGCCTCTTGCTGGATGCTTCATTTTTCGCTGATCCACCTCGACAGGTCCACTTCGGCGCCATCATGGACGACAACGAGCACATCTGCGACCTCACTGCCTCCTGTACTCCCATTCTCCTGTCCTGTCCTGTCCTGTCTCCTCTTCTCTCCTCCTCTCCTCTCCTCTCCTCTCCTCTCCTCTCCTCTCCTCTCCCTCCCTCTCGTCTTCGTCTTCGTCTTCGTCTTCGTCTTCGT